GGTTGCAAAGATTTTAACTGCTTTCTGCTGAAGGTCCAAGTCTGGACCAGCTCATGCTCTATTGAAATGGTTGCAAGGCCGACCAGCCTCTCTTGTGTCATCGTAGAGCGTAGATGTGTTTTTATTAACTTCAGCTTGGAGAAGCTGCATTCTCCACTGGCAACTGTTACAGGAAGTGTTAGAAGTATGCGTAGAGCAACAAAAGCATTTGGAGAGAGGGTGGTCATCTTATTTGTGCACATATATTCCAGAACAGACTTTGGAGTTGATCCTGCTGAAATGTATCTTGAAAGGGCTCTCAGTTCATCACCTAAATCACTCGCATCAATATCGCGCATGTCAGCATGTGTCAACACTGTCTCTAGTGCCCTGCATTGCTGGTGTAGATCTTCTTCAGGTATAGTGAGGAGTTTTGGAATATCATACAACATCCAAATATACTGCTGTGTTCCTTGAACTGCATGGAATATTCTTCCACTGACTGTATTGCACAATCCAGCACCTGGTTAAAGAATTCAACTTTGAATTGTTGTTTGGGCTCTCTTATGGGATTATCCCATGCCTTGTAATCAAAATGTCGTCTTCTTCAGTGACTCTTGTATTCTTGAATGGGTGGGAAAATAGCTTCAATGTGAAGTTCCTCTGCCGACTTCTGTGCACTCTTCAAAACGTTTTGAAATCCCTCATCTGACTGGTAAGACTGTAGGTATGACTTTGCTTTGTCCGGTTGTTCCATTGCTCCAGAAATATCAAGGTCAACACCTTAGAGGCTCTTGCTAACAACATTTATTTCAAACAGTATGTCATGCCACAATACTAAGCCACACAGAAATTTGAAGTTATGCATGTTTCTGGTGATTCCATTTACCTCTGCCACTGTTCTCTCATGAACAGTTCCTGTCATAGCATTATCCTCCATGATGGCAACTATGGTATCATCAATCTTCCCAATTTGGTGTTTGATAGGCTTTATCGCCTCCACTCGACTTTCCCATCGTGTGGCACTCAGTGGTTTCAGTGTCAGAGAGGATATTCCCAGATGTTGCTTCAAAATTTGCCATAGATGAGTTGATACAGAGAAAAATACACAGATGCTTTGAATTACATTAAAAATATCAGCAGCCTCACTAGAAGCTGATGTTGCATCACTGACCACCAAGTTCCATGAATGAGAACTGCATGGGACAAAAAAAGCTTGAGGGTTTAACTCTCGGATCCATGTCTGCACTCCTCTGTTCTTTCCTCTCATGTTGGCAACATTATCGTAGCCCTGACCTCTCATGTCAGCTATCACAATTCCCGTACCTTCCAGCTTTTTAAGAAGCACATTTGTCATACCAGCTCCTGTAGTATCATCAATGTCAATTAATTCTAGAAAATGCTCTCTGACAGTCACCATTGCAGGGACATTTTCACTAGGTTCTGTTGTTGTTACAAAATGCACCATTAAAGTCATTTGTTCCGTATGGCTGATGTCAGCTGTGCAGTCCAGAATAACAGAGTAATATCTTGCTGACTTCAGATCTGCCACAATCTTTTGTTTGACTTTTGTTGCCAGTAACTGTATGATGTCATTTTGAATTGTTTTTCCAAGGTAGTGGTGTGTGTACATTTCTTGGGTGGTGACTCTTCTTAGATGCTCCTGGAGTACCGCATCAAACTCAGCCATCAGCTCCACAATTTTAAGGAAGTTTCCATTGTTTGGCACATACAGCTGATCTGAAGTTCCACACAGTGCTAGGTTTTGTGTAGCAAGCACTCTCACAATGGCAATGAGCCTTTTCAGAACATTTTGCCAGTAAAGAGACTCTGATGCAATCTTCTCTTGATGCTGATCATCTATGGTGTCCTTTAACCGTAGTCTCATCTCAAGCTTTTTCCACCTATGGAATGCTCTCTGGTGATTTGCTGCCTTCTCATGGCATGCCAGATTTCTAGCCCGATTTTTCCAGTCCTTTGTTCCTGTAGAACCCAATGTGGCTGGAACATTAGACTAGAAGAGTTTGCAACAAAAGCAGTATGCAGCATTCTGAGTTTTTGAGTACATAAGCCATGGCCTCTCCACTTTGTCACCATTGGGGATTTCATGCCAGTAATGTGTTGGATGGAAACTTCTATTTTCATTGTCTCTGGGGAACATGAAGTTTTTCCACTTGCTGTGGCCCATGCAGTACAAGGAAGTCCCTCAGGCTACTGCTCAAGTTGGTTCACAGTCCTAGACTTAAGGAACTAAACTCAGCAGCAGCTGTTTCTTGAGCCTCCACCACACTCTTCTCTGATCTACACTTTTCTTCAGGAATGTGCATAGTTACATCCATTTGAGATGGAGATATGGATGCTGCAGTAGCTGCCAGGTCACCTGCACTCTGACTAACTGGAAGATCAGGCATCTCCTCACCACTCATATCCTCACTGGGGGCGGAAGGCTCACCATGAACATTTGCATCTATGTATCTCAGGAGAGCTCCTTCCTGCTTAGATAGAAAAGCTTCCTTTGCTTTCTTTCTTGTTCTGAATGATGCCCCAGAGGGGCATTTTCTTCTTTCACTCATGACTGCTGGTCTGTGCCAGCTATAGTGGCTCTCAACACTCAACTGAAGGGGACAAATAAGCAGGCTGGTATCAGGGCCTGAGTGAGGGAAGATATCAGCGTCTTAAAGGCCTAACTGGCTCCTACTACTTCAGTTGACTGCCTGTTCTCTGCAAGTGGGTTCAGGGAA